GCGTGTCAATAAGCCATTTGAAACCGGACGGAAAGCACAACACCTAAAACGAAACTGGTGATAACGGACAATAACTGCACTGGTGAACCTTGGTCTTGTTGTGCCCGATAACCCATGATTTGTTACAAGACCCCTTATATTATGGAGACCTACAGGGGCATTGCTTATGACTAAAATTTGTGATCCCCTGTAATTTAATGTACTCATTAGCTTCTCCCTTCCCCGAGTATTGGCTACGACTTAATTTTAAATAAGTTGAGTAAAGTACTGTAAATAACTAAGAAGTTTAGGCTAGATATGAGAGAGAAGAGATGATTTGAATAGGAGTGAAAGCAAAAGAAATGTAAGAAAATTTTATGTGAGCATTCGCTGGGCATATTGATCCACCAAAAGAGAAGGTGTAATGTACGAGAGGCGTAGGAAAAAGAATCAAGAGGTGAACTTTTTGATGCCCTCTCTTTTCATCCCACTAATTGGGTGCGCTCCCGTGGCGAACTTTCAGAGCATTCGCCCCACAAAAAGGTGGAAGATATTTTATTTATTCAATTAAAACGACTTACAGGAACCTCCATCGACGAAGCGCTTCCGATTTGGGCCCCTGAAAAGTTTGAAAAAAAAAGAAGAACACACACAATTCGCACACACAAAAAAATGAGATGACGACCGAGTGGCTCAGGCAGATCGAGTTAATTTTAACGGTGATTGTCTATCTCTTTTTTTCCCGTCCCTCACGCCGCCTTACATTCCTCTGCGCTCAGTTTTGCCTTCCTCTGTGCAGATCAGCGGCGCTTATCGGGCACCGGTATGTGGGGGCTCGCCCGCAGCGCAAAGTTAGGTGGAGAGAGATAGAAAGGGATAGAGAGCTAAAGAAGCCTAAATGAAGAGGGAGAATAAAATAACCCGGGTATTGATGCTTAGTGCATATGACTATGATCCGTTATTTGTTTCTTATATTTGCTATTTTTTTTTGTTATTTTGAACTGGGCTGGCCTTCTGTGAGAAATTTCTAATTCGATCTGCCACTATTTGCCACCACTGCAGAACACTTTTTTTTCCTTTGCCTCCTCCCCTGCGCACGGGGTATGGACGCATACGCGGAGCGATTAGACAAGCCGACGCGGCTGCCGTCTGCCGGGCACTAGTTGGCCTCTCCTCTCTGGCTCGCCGAATTGCTCCAAGGCGACGACCCAAAGCTCCGGCGAATTTCTATGAATTTCAGCTGGTGGTCGTGGAAGACGAGCCTCCTCCAATTTAAAACCTAGGGAAATTTGCACACACAGAACACATTTATACACTTTCGCTAGGCTGTCTTTTTTTCTCAACTTACCCAAACGGGTGACCCGTCGAAAGGGTGTATCGAAAAGGTTTCACTTATCACCGCCTGTTATTGTTATTGAATTTAGATGGTTTTTCTCTTTTTTTTTTGAATATTCAAACACGGCTGCCACTATAGAGGACACTTGGTGAACAAAATCCAATGCTGTCGACCAGGCTTGGAATGCCGCAATGGCGTCCAATGCCATCTATTTATAGCCTTTCATCTTGTCCGACTTCGACTTCGAACTCGCTCTCCTTTCGACGAGGAAGTCTGACCTGGCTCTGACCCACTCTCTGATCCCAGGCCCTCTTTGCCGACTATTAAAGAGAATTTGTCTTGCCTCTCGTTAGACGGTGCCTAATTTTCGGCGGACCCCAAAAACCCTAGGCCTCCTCACAGCAGCTACAAGCCTCACCGTACACCAGCCGCCACTTCGCAGCCGTAAAACTGACTCCGACCACTCCAAGTGTGCAGCAGTTGATCTCGTTTGCCACTCCAAGGGCAACGACAGCTGCTGGCGATGCAGATTCGGTAGCCGAATTCATCGCTTCGGTGAACGTGCAGCCAAGTACATCTGTAGTGTCCGTGTCCATGGTGTCCGCAAGTTCGTTTTTAGTAACGTATCAGATAGTCAGAGGCTTACGTAGTAAGCTCAGCATTCTTTTCCGGGATAGTGTTGCATTTGCTTCCCACGTTATTGTGTTTACTGAAACCTGGTTAAAGCCGGACATTCTTAGTTCCGAGGTTTTGGCAGGTCAGTACACAACTTTTAGAAAGGACCATTCGTCTCGACGTGCAGGAGGGATTCTGATTGCAGTGGACTCTAAATTCACCTTGGAACACTTCACAGTCCAAGTTCAACAGTAACTGGAATTCCTGTGTGTAAAACTAATTCTTCCCTCTTTTGCTATATTAATTACTCTCGTTTTTCTCTGGGCCATAAACAGTTTAACTGCTTCGTAAACAGTAAGCGTAGAACGTCCGCACACCCATCCTCGCTATCATTTTGTAATACGTCGGCAAATAATTATCAGGCAATTGCCGATCTTTTTGCCCAGTTTTTCCAAACCACCTATTCTGAGGAAAGCTACTCTGGTCATCCATATCCATACGGTTTATATAAGTCGTACGGCATTTTCAGTCCCTTGTTAAATGAACGTTCTCTACTTCATGATCTTTGACTAGTTGTGCCGGTGTTCTCACCGGGTCCAGACGGGGTTCCAGGCTGTGTACTCAGGTACTGCGCCGAGGCACTGTGTGGACCCTTGCTTAAACTAGCCATTGATTCCTCTTGCTTCCCCCCGATCTGGAAGGAATCGTTTATAATTCCTTTTCATAAGAAAGGTAGCCAGTCTCATGCAAAAAATTATAGAGGTATATCAAAATTATCCGCTATTCCTAAAATGTTTGAGAAAGTCTTAACTCCGCACTTGAAACACACAAGTCACTTGTATCTCAAACTCAGCATGGATTTATAAGGCGGTGATCAACCACCACGAATTTGTTAGAGTTTACCTCTTTCATTATTTACACCAACTTTAGTAAAACATTCGACTCTGTAAACCATTCCCTTCTACCGCATAAACTTGACCTTTTAGGGTTTCCGCCCAACCTCCTGAGATGGATTTCTAGCTACCTGTGTTCCAGGTCTTCCAGAGTCCTCTTCAAAAACTGCCTCTCTTCACCAGTATAGGTTTCTTCGGAGCACCACAGGGCAGCCATCTAGGCCACTTACGCTTCACACTCTTTATTAATGACTTGCCTTCGGTATTAACATACTCTCGAGTAATTATGTATGCGGATGATGTTAAACTCTGTGTCCAGTATAAGGACATTTCATTTCATTCTCGCTTGCAATCCAATCTCAATAACTTTCAGTCATGATGATGTGCAAACTTGTTACACCTTGATGCCTCGAAATTCAAATTATGACATTTCATCGTTCTAGCCCCTTGTTGGCTTCCTATACACTGTTTGGTGGTTATCTTGAGAGAATTAACTTGGTGGATGATCTTGGTGTTATATTAGACGCCAAGCTAAAGTTTTCTGATCACATTTTTACCATGGTAAATAAGGCCATGGGCGAGCTTGGGTTTATAAAGAGGTGGTCAAAGGAAATTGACGACCCCTATATAACAAAGACTCTCTATACCTCACTTGTTCGTCCGATCTTAGAGTACGGCTCCTGTGTATGGTGCCCTCAGTACAAAGTACCAGGACCGTATAGAATCAGTCCAGAAAAACTTCTTACTCTTTGCTCTGCTGGGCCTTAACTGGGATGCGGGTGTGAGACTCCCATCTTACTCTAGTAGACTGCTATTAGTAAACCTTAGTAAATCCTTAGTTAACCGTAGGAAAGTGCTTGGTGTGATTTTTATGCACAACTTGATCAGGGATGACATAGACAGCCCTGATCTGTTGAGCCGCATTAACTTCACGATTCCTATTATCGAATTATTCCTTGCATGAACCGTATAGGGTCTTATGCTCGAATTATAATTCACTGTACCATATTATATCCATCACTAATTTTCTTCCTCTTATTAAATTACTAATCCTTACAAACCTTTCTAGTAATTAGTAATTGTAGTGGTATTTGTATTTTGAATGCATGCCTAGTTCTCTTAGTAACATTAATGATAATTTTCCTCGAATATTAGTCTAACAGCTATTTTTACTGCATGCTCGCGTAACAGCCTTCTGCTGATTTTAGACGGGCCACTTGACGGTGCAGTAATTGCATCGCCTCATGCAAGATTCAGTCATTGCATGTCAACGTCCAAGAAAAAAATTGCTAGCAGCCAAGGCCAAACCAACTTCTATAAAGAGCAGAATAGAACATAAATGGATTGATTTATCATAGCCAATTAAATAGCCATATCACAAACATAAAAGTGTTGAAATTTTGAGAATTCCGACTGCTTAGAAAACCCTCACTGTTCCTCCAGGATGTGCTCAGGGGGCGAAGCGTATTGCTAGTTCATGCATTCTTTACCAGAATACCATTAACATTTAAAGTATCGAATTGTCGTCATACAAATTGTCCGTCTGGTACTCTTTTTCGTTCACGAATTTTTCATCGCAGAAATGTCCTTTTTCAGCGCAATAATGTCTCTACATTCTTTCCTTCCTTCAATAAACTTACGTTGCATTCCATACTCACTTACGTTTTATGTATTAACTTTTTGTTCAAACCTTAATTTAGCCAATCTTGTAGAAAATTGAATCATCAATCGGATAAAATTATGTGTTCAGAACTGAAGGGTCTATCTAGCTAATAATATTAAATCGAATATCAAAATCGAGAAATATGATTTCCAATCATGGGCAGAGAACGATTAGCCATTGTCCACCAGTGGGTATTAGAATACTCTCCACGAAAATTATGAATCTTAAAGAATTTTAACGCAGTTTAGGTGAAAAATATAGTGGTCTTTCTTATGCAAAGATAAAGAAGAGTAATTATTATTAGTCTTATTTTCCGCGGATTAATTAGAACTGTTATCATCTTTAAATAAAGGGGGTTTAAGTGGGCTAAGTTCGTTTTTTCATTAGTATATTTACGCTATATTTTGAAAATGAGCGGTATATTTGTGAGGTTCAAACGGTATATTTGATATCACTGATATCTACAGAGTACCATCCCTAGTCCGCGGACACTTGGTGCACATGTATATTTGTTGAAATGTGTGGAATTTTTTGTACAATTAATCAGAATACAGCTGGCTGTCTTGATCTAACTGATACACTGAAAACTGTCTTAAATAACCGTGGCCCAGATGTGCAGGATGAGCTACGGCTGGATAACATTCTACTCTCCGGTAGTGTCTTGTGGCAACAAGGAGAGAGTATACAAAAACAGCCCGTAATCGAAGGGGATTGTGTATTGTTGTTTAATGGAGATTTGTATAACTTGGAAAAACCAGACTCAATGGCAGACACATTTTGGTTAGCTAAGAAGTTGTCTGATTGCAACTGTGATGAAGAGATACTTTCTGTGCTCAAGGTGTTGGAGGGACCATATTGTTTGATAATATATAACCGGCGTGAGGAAATGCTTTACTTTTGCCGGGATGCTCTGGGAAGAAATTCATTGATTATAGAGCATAATCAGCAAGAATTGCATTTACTGAGCACCTCATTTTACTCGGATATCGATCAGTTATCAACACTTGAATTGCCTCCGTTGGGACTGTACAAATTAAAAATTGATAACTTGAGCAGCTGTGTACTATATCCATGGCAGCCCCTGAATGCATATACACATCAGCAACTCATCACGCTTGATTTGGCAATGGGCTGGAAAACGATAATCAAACGTACAATATCACCAGATTGGTTGTTAAAAAGCAAACTGGATTTCGGCTATGACTTTTACAAAGTTCCATATGTCGACAACCATGAATCACTTTATGAAAACCTGCTTAGTACTCCTCAAGTCCAATCAGCATTAGCAACATTTAATAAATTACTTCAAAGTTCTGTAGCATCACGAGTTCAAACGGCCCCTTTTTGCCGTAATTGCTTAAAGATTGGCCAAAACACTAGCATATGTACACACGCGAAAGTGTGTATCCTTTTTTCTGGTGGCATCGATTGCACTGTCTTAGCCATCCTGGCTGATAGATATGTACCAGATGGAGAGCCGATAGAACTTATTAATGTGGCGTTTGAAAGAATAACTGCTCCAAATACAGCTGATACACAGGAATATTGGAATGTTCCTGACCGCAAGACTGCGTTACAATCATACAATGAGCTGAAACGTATCTGTCCCAAGCGGTTCTGGATCCTGATAGAAGTCAATGTGACACGCCAGGAGTTACAGCTTCAACTCTCACAACATATCCGTCATCTTATATATCCGCTGCAGACTGTTTTGGATGAGAGTCTAGGCTGTGCGTTTTGGTTCGCTACCCATACTGTACTATCATCTGCCAGAGTTGCTCTCATAGGTAGTGGTGCCGATGAGTTGTTCGGAGGATATACTCGCCACCGAAACGCTTATAGACATTGTCTGGGCGACGACATAGAGCGTCAGCTTGTTGTACAGAATGAACTTGAGAAGGATTGGCAGAGAATACCTGCTCGAAATTTGGCGAGAGATGATCGCGTTATTGCGGATAATGGGAAAACAGCACGTGCACCTTTCATTGAAGAGAATGTAGTTCGGTTTGTTCGGTCTCTAATGCCGAAACAGAAATGTTGCTATAGCTTCCCTGAAGGGGTCGGTGATAAATTGCTGTTAAGACTGTATGGATACCAATTGGGTCTGCGGGACGCGGTACTGCTGAAAAAGCGAGCTATTCAATTTGGTTCACGAATTGCTGACAAAAAGCAGCACGCAGCACAGCATTCTATTTTCTTAAAGTTCAATCTTGCTAATTCGTTGGAAAATACCTGTTGAAATAAAAACGAACTTCACAAATTGCACCAGAGTTACATCTATGTTTATTTATTTTCAGTCGCTTGGAGCTACGATGTTTACACATTCGGGGCTATTTACATATGTAGAAACAAACGGAGGCACTTTGCTATGTCGATTTAGCACGGATGTTGATTGATAATATAATCGGTTTCTCATCCGATCAAAGACCTGTCTGATATGTAGGAACATAATACCCCCGTATTAACCCCTCAATTTGTTTATTTATATACATATTTATTTGCTAATGAATTTCGGGGAAGACTTATTATCTATCGCACCTCATAATGATCAGCAGGTGTTACCTTCAGGACCCACAGGGAACGCGTTGGACGCACAGCCCTCCGGATCATCTCGACAAAACGTGTTATTGTTACTGTCATTTATGTCAATGGAAGAAAAGCTATCAAGCATTGATGGATTGGGCAGGCTGTGGTAAAGTCCTTTGTTTTTACTTTCAAGACCAAAATGAAGTTGTAACTGATGACGAATACTCTCTTTTTCATTTGCACGATTGCGTTGAAAATCTTCCTCCACTCTAAAATGAGAATGATTAGAAAATGATTTATAAAATATAAGACAATTACCTTTTTAAAGCTTCAACCTCGCTTCTGTGAATATTTTCAGTATCGACATCTCTTGTTGATCTATCTGAATACAACTTCTCCAATAAGCGGACTGGATTATGAAATGTAAATCGCTGATGAAACCTATCAGCTAATTTTACATTCGTTTCAGTTGCACTCTGAAATTATACTCTTTATTTTGAGGAATTTTCATTTTTTTTTTTTTTTATACCGTAATTGGATATATTGGAGTTCTATCTTGCAGGTTTTCAGGTACGTGGCGTTGTCGGCTTTGGAAATGACGACTGGGTTTTGTTTTGCAAGTTTCTAGTTCACCTCTGGAGCTATTGTAAGCGGGCTTGTCGTTGTTTCCGGGCAAATACATTACGTGCTTTCCCCCAGCTAGTGTTTTTAGTGATTGTTGTTCAATAACAGGCAATTCCTGGCTATTATTTGTATCCTTAATTCTATTCAAGCAAACTCCATTTTTTCCGACATTTTTATGCAGCATCCAGTTCTCGAAGCCATCAATTTTTGTTGTAGAAATACCCGCAGTCGGAATATTTGAGATGGAAGCCTGACAACCCGGCCGTTTGCTGAAAAAAAATTCAGGCTTTCTCTTCCGAAGGCTTTTGTAAATGCATACCTATAAAAAAGGATCCAATTAATTAATGTTGAATCGTTTGTATATCTTAGAATACTAAACTGACATCATTTGACTTTAAATTATCAAGCTTCCGCGCATGTTGTAAGTGACCATCTCTAGGCAGGGAAAGACTAAAGGTGTGGAGGGGTGATACCGAATTATGGGAAGATATTTTTGACTTGCTACCGTAGAATAATAAAGCTTCTCCCTCACATTTAGAGCGATAGTCGTCCGAGCTCGAGTCTGAATCTGTGACGAGATTCCCCGCTGTATCATCAATTTGATCGCACAGGTCCTGTTCAGGCGTCCATGCATTTTGCAACTTGTTTATTTTGCGCACATGTCTTATTTCGTAAATAATGCTCGGTTGAATTGGTAACTCGTTTTTTTCCGTTTTTTGGTAACCATTTGGATCTGATATATTAATTTCTCTATCAATCTGAACGTCATCATCAAGAAGAGTGCGCCAAGCTAACGCCGGGCTAAAGGACGGCGTATCAAGTTGGCGACGTGGCAAAGTAGGACGGATGCAAAGCCGCAAGCCGTTATCATCAACGCTGTCCTCTTGACTTGTTGACTTTTTATACTCAATATCGTAATTTGGAACGAAAAGCAGCGATGTACCTTCATTTGAATTCAAGTTTTTCTCGGTATTATGAGCAGTTGGGATAGAGACGATATTCTTCCCGGTAGAATCTGGCTGAAGTCCATAAATTGGTTGCATAATTTTGTTATCTTGAGAATCTTGCCGAGTCTCTGTGATAGTGTTGACATCCATGCCGAAATAAAATGTTCGCCTGTGTTTTTGAGCTTCTGGGGTCGGAGCAGAAATATTTTTTGTATCTTTTTTATTCGGAGCAGAATTCATGGATGATTCTTTACTTGAATGGTTATTATGTTTGTAATGCGTTTTCTTTTCTCCAGTGCTTTCTGTGTTAACATTAGCCTCCTTTGCATTTTTGCTTCTTATTATAATCGCGTCTGAACTTTTTTCACGCCTGTAAGCCAATTTCGACTGATTTATGGGTACATTTGGCCTGCAATTTCCACCAACAGAGTTTCGCTCCGCACTTTTCCTCTTAAATGATAAATTTGAACCTTTATTTACTGTAGGTAGTCGATCTGTATTTTTCGAAAAATGAGTTTGTCTGCCCTGTTCATTTGTAATCCTCACACTTGTAGAGATATCTTTTTCCGCTGTTTCTGGATGAACGGCTGGTACAATAATTATTGATTCGGTAGGCACTTCTGGAGCCCTACGTTTTTTAGTATACTTGTTCTTTTTCTCCGATCTAGCTATGGATTGATTCGTCGCAGTTTCTTTATTATTTTTGTTCACGAGTTCCGGTTCTGAATATGTGTGGCGTTGCATTTGGGTCAAATTCGATTTTGTATTTGATACTAAATTGTCTTTTTTGTAATTAGCTTTAACATGATGAAGCGTTTGTGAACGGGTAAACTCTGTCTGCAATGAATGATTTGTAGATCCGACTATGAAGGTCCGCGATCGTTGCATTGGCGCATTCGTTGGGCATGAAATAGGGTTTTCACTCAGCCTTCGACCGCTGATCGTACCTCCGGAATTGAGTATTGCTCCATTTGTAGTGGCTCGTAAGTGAAGGCTCTTGTCAATCCGTGGAAGTACTTTAAATTGGACATTTTCATCTGTTTTATACTTTATTACCTTCTGACTGTTTGACGTCGGAAACGACCTCCGCCATTGCTGGCTGTACCCTTTCTGTGGAGTAGGACTCGACCTTATATCAGGCTTTGAATAATCGTAATGACGATGTGAGCTTTGCCGAAATTGTTGTGAGAGATTTTTAGCATGTGGGCTGGGGTCCGTATTTTGTCTCTGGATGTTTAATTGATGGGAGCTGCCAGAATTGCCCATTTTAATGTGCCTACAAAATATAAGTACGAAAATATGTTTTTAGTTACTTGTTGACCTTATGTGTTGTATTTTGTGTTTACGCTGTATGTTCAACTTATAGGTGTAAGAAACGCCCTACTATACTATTCGTTCCGATGTTCCGAGCTACTCAATCATCCCAAAAACCAGCTAAATACAAATGCTTTTGGATATATGTATGTAGCTGGTTTCTTATCAAGTACCTAGTGTGTAAATATGTATATTGGTGTTATACCATAAGTGTTTCACACTTAAGGTCAACAACATTTTATTGAATCCTATTTTAATGCATGACAAGCCAAGAGTTTTTTTGGCCTCATCTTTATTTTCATCCGTATCATTCACGAGTGCGTACATATGTAAACAAACATATACATACATGCTTAGTAGTTGATCTTTAGAGAAAGTAGGCTATATGCATGTATGTATTTACAGATATGTACATACATATGTTGACACGAACTGAAAACTTCGGTTTCATTAACTATGAATATCTAATGTATAATAATGTGTATAATTGCAAATAATTTAGTCATTTTGACGCAATCTTTTGATCAAGAAAACGAAACTACATACACATGCACATGCGAATAAGAAGACTTGTGTAAACATACATACATACATACACAACAGAATGTTGGAAATGGTTACATTCTGTGCCAAGTCAACAACACAAATAGTTCCAGTTCGGGACATTACTCACAAATTTAAAAATATATTGTAAATGGAAAGACTCACAAAAATCTTTCTCATGAACTACATATGTATGTATATGCACAACTTTCTTTTCATTTTCACCAAAAGTTTTTATTGCAAGGTTCGCTAAAGCCGCATTTTTGTTTTGTTTTAGAATATACACCAGACTGCATTCCATATTGGATTTTTGTAAAATTTATTGTCGAAATAATAGCAAGTGGTTAGCTGGGAAATAAATACAAAGTAAATAAAATGGGAAATTTTTTTACGTTTTGTTTGGAACGACCGCCAGTGACCGCACTCGCGCATGCGCTTTCACAACACGTTGATCTCGTTTGATCAAAGCTCAGCGCTCCACTGTTATTAGGAGTGAAAAGCTTTTTTTCTCTAAGAAATACCAAGTTTTTTTCGAATAAGATACCATTTCAGTTTCAGTTTCAAAATTGAATGTTAAGCTAAAAAATAGTTATGTCAGTTTTTTATGATCGATTTTTCATTAAAAACTTAAAAACGCACTAATAACTGTCAATTACTGGTTTCCGCTATTAATGGTTCTGATTTGGAATTTATTAAATTGTTATCTTCTTCTTTTATATATGTACATATACATATGTACAAACATTTGTAAATAAAAATATTAATTTGGTTTATTTAGATTTCAAAAACTCGCAGTTCTGCACCGATTGAGTTAAATATTGAAAAAATATATGTCGACAATAAATCGTTAATTTCACTGTATATACATATGTACACATTTTCATCAACCTAACATCAACCGCAACAATAACCCAGCACCATCACAGTCGTTAATTTTAAGTTTTAATAATTTGTCACCGCTGTATAAATAAATAAATACATTTTCAAAATATATATAAATACATAAATAATTATAACATAAATAGATAAATTCAAAGGGCATCGCATTTTGTTGAGTGTCATACTTGCGCATCAAATTTTAAATCATTCGTCCGTTTCTCGCTTTCTGATGCGAATGAAAAGAATGAATGAAGTTGCACGTGGCACCTGGAATTAGCAAATACAGGATATACAAAACAACAGTTCTTCTGATATTGCGGGGAAAACTTCTAAGAAACATTTCATAATTCTCCAAAAATTATAAGTTAAGGGTATGTGAGCCCAGAAAGCGGCAATGAAATATAAATGCCAGCAATTCTTAAAACGTAAAATACACGAAGATTACGAGAGAATACCCATAAATTAAAGTACGCTGGAACATCAAGACAAAACAGCAACATAAAAGGAACAAATTAAAAAAAACATCCCTCTAGTACCAGGCAACTAGTTCCGCACTGGTGCCGCACTAGCTACCATTCTCACCTCCCTGGTTCCAGATCGATTACCCGCAATGTATTTCAGCGGAGAATTTAACCACTAACCATACAGTATATAGATGTGCCAGTTCATACAACGAAAGCGTCAGACACTGACTAGCGCGTTCAGTACCCCAGAGTGACGTCATCATAAGAGAGAGAGAGCGCAGAGAGAAGCTTCTTTGCATGTGTTAGTACACACGCAATATGTTTGGGGACAAAAATATATATTTTTTTGACTCTGGGGTTCCAAAACTAGTAGCCCAGCGTGTGACACATTCTTGTATGAACTGGCACATCTATATACTGTATGGTTAGTGGTACTCGTCTACAAAACAAGCCTTTTTATCGTTTCCGTTGTTCTTGCACGCTACGACTTTTTTCGGTTCTGATTACTCGTCTTATTCTACTTGATATTACATGTCTTACATTACAATTGTCCGTGAGTAAACACTTCGAAAACAGATTAAATATCTGCCATCTCTTATACCGGTCGGTATGAAATATTCGATATATTTATATATCAACAGTGCAGCAGATGATCTACAAAAATATTTATTACGCAATAGTTTGGACTTAAGTTTGTCTACATAGCTAGTCTCATTCAAATTTGAAAAAATGAGAGTTTCTAAAGCAGCGCGCTCCTGTTTTAATACATTACGGTTAAAAATGAGACCGCCTTCAATGACCCGGTCACATTTTACGTATTATCCCACAGCTGCGGGATCTGGCAATGCGAAAAAAATGAATATGTTTAGCGCAATAAATAATGCCATGGATTTGGCTCTTCAAGAAGACAGCACGGCATTGCTGTTTGGAGAGGATGTGGGCTTTGGTGGAGTTTTCCGGTATTGAAAAAAAAATGTTCAGCAGTTTTTTGTACCTACATATATCTAAATATTTTTGTATCCAACAGTTGTTCTGTCAACCTGAGAGATAAATACGGAAAGGATCGAGTTTTTAATTCACCATTGTGTGAGCAGGGAATCGCAGGGTATTATAATATAAGATAATTTCAATTGTACTTACATATATTTCAGAACAAGACATTAATATGTCATATTTTTCAGTTTTGCTATCGGTGTAGCTAACGCTGGGGCTACTGCAATAGCTGAAATTCAATTTGCGGATTATATATTTCCAAGTTTTGACCAGATCGTGAATGAAGCCGCTAAATATAGATATCGAAGCGGCGGCCTTTTCGACTGCGGTTCATTAACTTTTCGGGTTCCGTGCGGAGCTGTGGGTCATGGAGCACTCTACCATTCCCAAAGTCCTGAAGCATACTTTGCTCACACGCCAGGTCTTCGCGTTGTGGTAACTATATAAACTGTAGCTTACAACAAGGAAAACTATATAAATGATTTAAAATAGGTTCCACGTGGACCGATTAAGGCAAAGGGTCTGCTGTTAGCCTGCATTCGCGACCCAAATCCCTGCATAGTTTTTGAACCAAAAACATTGTATCGTGCAGCTGTTGAGGAAGTGCCTACAGAATATTACACCTCTGAGCTAGGCCAAGCGGATATTTTACGGAATGGAAAAGACGTGACACTTATTGGCTGGGGTACACAGGTCCATGTGCTTTTAGAAGTATGTCCCAATATATGTACATGGTTATTTCATTTTCTTCGGATTGTTTAATTAAATTGTTCTTTAGGTTGCAGAGTTGGCAAAAGAAAGACATAATATTGACTGTGAAGTTATAGACTTAGTGTCAGTTTTGCCTTGGGACACTAATACCATTTGTAACGTAAGCAAGAAACAGTATTGTTTTAAAACTTTTCATCAATATGTATTTTAGTCTGCAAGAAAAACCGGCCGTGTTGTAATCGCACATGAAGCTCCGTTTACCCAAGGATTTGGCTCTGAGATAGCTGCATACATTCAAGACAAGTGTTTTTTGAACCTTGAAGCGCCAGTTAGGAGAG